TCGGAAAACCCACTGAAGGGCAGTTCTGATGTGACGACACACACACAATAGCCACCACCACTCATTAATCTGGATTTCATAGTTTACTTCTATTTCACTAGTACTTTTTTTTAACTTTTATTCATTGTTGCACATTGTCTTCTCACTAGTCCCTTTCCCAGTCCACCCTGCAACAGACCCCTTGTTCCAGATTGTTAATCCCTTAGTAGCTTAATTAACCATAATTGGAGGTTCTAGTCTTATGGGGCCCTTTTATAGAAAATATATTATTAGTATTTTAAGTTACTATTCTCTTTCTAAATTGCCTTGTATGGAAAAAAAGTAGAGAAAAGTTAGCTAAAATGCTACGTGTAATTCAAATTTTAAGTTTAAATCCTGCCATAGGACTATCTTGAAAGAAAAGAAACTATAAGCCAAAATTGAGTAAGTAATGCTAGATTCTCCTGGAAAAGTCACAGAAAGAAAGAAGCTAAATGTTCCAATTTTGACATTATGAATTTATCAATATTTTATCCTTTCAAACAATTTCCTTTTGAAATACTGCTTTTTAATGTGTACAGTATATTTTCATATAAATGTTGGTCATATGCATTTTGACTCTGGAATTTTATTTTTTACCTTTCTGACCAGCTCTAATTCTTGCATAGTTTTCTGAAGCTGTTTCTTTTCCTTTTGAAGTTGTACTTGCAGTTCTTCAAGCTCACTTAAAGTACTGGCATGTTCCTAAAATTAAAAATAGAAGCAATTCTCCAAACTTAGGACAAAGAAAAGAGGTAAAATAAAACTGACACACAGAGACATGAAAAAAATCTTGAAAATATTTTGTGGTTTGTCTTTTTTTTTTTTTTCAAAAAAACCCCACCCAAAATTACATCACAGCATGGTTTCTCGAATTTTTAACTGGTATAATGAACTCTGTTGTATTCACAAAGCTATGCATTAATTTTTTTCTTCATTTAAATATTATTTTTATCAAAACTACTATATACAAATTGAAGAGAGCCCGGATGTCTTAGTTGTAAGGAGTCCCAAGACATGAGGCGTGAATCCACCAGCTGTTCCATGGGCAATCTTTTTTGTGTGATGTACTGTCTCTGAAAATCCACTAGTTGGTCAGCTAGTCGGAACCAGAGGTTCTGACACTACAATAAGAAACAACAACATAAATAAACTAATGGAGTTCTAGTGCCTTAGATTACAGTGAGTTGAGTATCTTTTCCAAAGGTGGTGCTTGTCTGGTATTTCAAATCTACCAGCGGCTCTACAGGACAAAGATAAGCAATCTCTTCCCATTGGGTTTACAGCTTCGAAAACCCAATGGACGGTCAGCGGTAAGTTGGTTTTGACTTGATGGCAATGGGTTTAAGTTCTTTTGATATATAAATGAACTGATCTTATAGTATTACTTTTACCTTCATCTTCTGTTCTTTCTGAAGTTTTTCAGTTTCTAACTCCTTGTCTACTGTGGCTTTAGTTCTCTGAACTTCTAAAATCTGTACTTCTAATAACTTAGCATTAGACTGGAGTGTCTCAATTCGAGCCAGGAGATCTTCATTATCAGAATTTAGTTTTTCACACTAGAATGACAAAAGAATTCATTACCATAAATGTGCATAATATATATATAGGAGAAGTGTGAAACAGTGCATTGATGAGAACAATGGCAGATTGTGAAAAAGTGATTCTTTAAAAATTGACTCTGCAGAATGACAATGTAAAATCAAGGCATTTAAAAAATTATCATTGTCAATGTTAGTATGGCAATGCTTGTAACAGAAAAGGAGGACTGTTAAGAGAAAAAGACAAAAATGAAAACAGATAACAGATTAGAGTAATAAGCAAGATGAGATGTTTGAATTGTTTTGTCATATTCTTCAAGAGTGGGTAGAAAAAAGAATTTAGTTTCTGATTATGTGTTAATTTTCACTTTTTAAGCAAAAATATTTGAAATTAAAAATATACTTTTACGGTTATATTTACTTAAAGTTACCTGGAGAGTTGAATTCCTTAATTGTTTTGTAAGGTCTTCTATGAGATGTTCAAAATTACTGGACCGCTCTTTTTCCATATCCAACTGCTCTGACTGTTTATCATACTCTAATAAAAGATTCTTCAATAAAAGACAAAAGATTTAACTTTAGAATATTATGCATTCAACTTATTAGACAACCACTAATCCATTTTAATTTAACATTCATGAGTTCATCATCCCCCACTTTTACTTGCCCATGTTCAACACTTAACATTCAAGTATCTAAATGGCATGAAATAATAAAATTAATGTAGATGAGTTTTGACTTAAGAGAAGTCTGTTAAAGAGAATTTAAAATATCAAAAGGAAACTCTGGTGGCCAAGTGGTAAAAAGCTGCACTGCAATCCCAAAGTTATGTTGCTTTAATCTACCAGATGCTCCCCTGGAGGAGGGGTCATCTCCTCCTGTGCCAGTTGGATCCAATTCAATGGCACATAACAAAATAATAAAAAAAATTTTTAAAATAAATACAAATATACCATCTTCAAAAGAAACAGTAAACCTCTATAATATAAACAAAACTAAAGAAATAAAGATGAGATGTTCAACTTGGCTGTACCTAAAGAATTCTAGTGACAGAAATGTCTTAAACTGGTCTGCATGAAATAGGGTGCTAATAGAAGATTAGATGACATTACATAAGGGTGGTCTCTCCTATTACGCAGCTAAAGTTTCAAAATTTTCTGGAGAATTTAAAAACAACTGGATAATGCAACTACTATGAAAAGCAGTTTGGCATGTTCCTTTATGGGAACAAGACAGCAATTGATTTAGCAATCTCACTATATATCTCAAAGAAATAAAACAGGTTATACATATACCCATCCTCCTGCCATGCTCACTGCAGAATTATACAAAATAGCAAAGATATGGTAACATCGCAAGTGTCCATCAACAAATGGCTTAATAAATTATGATGCTATAACACAATAAAGTACTACGCATCACTGAAAAATGGTGAACTAACAGGTAAGAGTTGCTTTGTCAACCCAAATGTAAATGCTTCTGGGAGAAAGACGGACAACAAATTTCTTCCTGTGTTATTTACAGTCTCTGAAAGCCCACTGGAAGATCAGGAGTGATTTGATTCCAACTCAACTGCACATCATACAATTGAAAAAAAGTGATAAAAAAAAAGTGATCAAGAACTCATGAACTATTACACAACATAGATGGATCTACAATACATTATGCTCAGTGACATAAGCCAGTTACAAAAAGAGAATTGTGGTATAAGACTACCACTACTATTAAAAGCTAGGGAAAGACACACAGAATCAATTTTGGAAAGATAACAGGGATGGGAGGGGAAGGGGAACAAAAATTAGTAAAGAAGATGGGTGGCAGGAAAGGCGATATCCAGAAGTGGATGATTAGGTATTATAATTAATTACATTAATGGCATTAATGTTACAAAACAAAATGTCTATTACCAATGACTATATGAAAAACCACTGATTTGTAAACTTACATTCAAATAAAAATTAAAAAAAAATAAAGTAAAAATCTCAAAGCAACTGAAACACTTTTGACATTTTTTGTTTAATTAGTTTATCCCAAAAAATCTGCACATGAGCTTAATCCCAGATTGGCTGTAATTCCTGCCCTTCTCCTTTGTTTCTCTCATATGAATATTAATTTTTATTTTGTTCCTGAACAACCATTGACTGTTCTCTTTTGTATGAATGAGTTAAAAATAACTAAGAAGATGTTTCCAAGTTTTCTTTGAATGTTTACTTATAGAAGTCCCACTGAATTCACCTGGTTCCTATCAATAGAACCAAGAGAAATGTTTAGCCCAGAAGTAAAATTCATCTGGATGTAGACCCGGAGTCTTTCACTCACCTTTCCTGGGATCTTCTGGCTAAGTAGCATGTATGGAAATTGATCTCCTTTTGGCTCTTCATAACCTTAGCTAATTCTTGAGTTAATCTAATTTTGATTTATGCATGATCAGTATTCGTCCATGTTAGTGGCAAAGTGCTAGAATTATAATTTTGATTTTATAATATCTAAATATTCAGTACCTTTTTTTGTGCATGGCAGAAGACAAATTAAGAATCTAGAATATGGGACTGAAAGTGAAGAAACTGAATACATGAAGAAACTGAATTGTTGTTAATAAAAATGGAATTGCTATGCCAAGGCTAGCTCTAACAAAGAATGGATAGTAATTTAGGGGACCCCTGGAAGTAAAAGGAAAGCTATGCTTTCAGGTGTCAGTATTCCTTGATAAGTATGCTATGGTAAATTCAAACTGTTGATCTTTTGGTTAGCAGGTAAGTGCTTAATCATTCCAAGGGTTCGAAGTGGCTCAGGGATGACTTAGTAAGTTTACATAAATTTTAAATCCTCTAATTCACCCAAAATTTGTTTTGATGTGTGAAGTACACATTCACAATTTTCAGTTTTCTATTTCTTTATTGGTATCTATGTTTTAAAATATTACTTGGGAAATAGTAAAGGAACCCTGGTGATACAATACAAAGTATAACGAGGGGTTAAGCAAAAAGCTGCCAGCATGAATCCACTAGTTGCTCCTCAGGAGAAAGATGGGGGAGCCCCTTCCTGTAAAGATTCACAGGTTTTGAAAACTTGATGGAGGAAGCTATGAGCTGAACCCTATGGCAGTGACAATGGTTTGGTCTGGGAGCAGTATGGTTTCTGCCTGAATTAAAATCCTAGCTATTACTTTAGTGAACTCTCTGACCTTAAAGGTGTCCATCACTCCTTTGTGCGGCAGATTCCGCGCTCAAAAAATTGGGATATAACTTAGGGTTGTTTCAAGAACTGTTTTAAGATATGGAAAAGTACTTAGTAGAGAGTCTGTCATTTTAATGTTTGTTGTTACATATAAGTTATTCTTCTAATACATAAATATATGTAAATCCTTTCATCAGAAATATACAATATTCACTCTTACAACTTTATAAAACTTCAAGTTTGAGTAAGATGTTCTTTCATGTAGCTTTTCTGAAAGCTTATCTTTAATTTGAAATGCAGTGTAACTGCCAAGATTTTTCAGTAAAAAACCCCTCATAATTTCTATCAAAATTATTTCAGACTTTATAAGTTAATGAGAACTGATCTCTCAAATAATAGTTATCTTACGTAAATTTTGTAGTTCTCATTAAGTTTCCAAATTCCTCATTAAAATACTATCTAAAATTTTACCTTACCTACTATCTGATTTTTTCTTTATTTTTCTGTGATAGTGCATGTGTATACCTATGCTATACACTTATGTGTCTGCTACTACCACTGGAATTTAAGTGCTAAGAGAAAAGAAACTCAGAATATATGACTGGCTAACAGGTCTCCCTAGTGTCTGTGTAAATATCTTCTGAGTGAACAAATGAAGACTATAATGATATTTATTTTGTTTTGAGTGATTTTGTAATAGATTTTTCTGCTATCTAAATAGATTAGCATATTAATTCCAAATAATGCTTTTTCCTTCCCAGTATGCCTCTTGTTCAAGTGCCTAGTTTACTCCCTTGGCCAGAACACTATACTGATTTTATGAAGAATTACACAAATTTTTACTTAAGAGGAAAAAATAAAGCAAGCTTAGAGGAAACATTTATAACCTGATAACTTAAAATTTTGATACTCAGAAGTTTAACCTTATCATGCATGTGTATATACACATATACGCTATATACACAGATATAGATATACTCAAGATATACACAGATTCACTTAAACTGTAAGGTGACTTATTCATCAGTGAGAATTGCACATTTCTAGTAAATATCTTAATTAGAAGTTGTAAATATAACTTGTTATGATAAAATTTGTTACCTTATAGCTTTCTGCTCCTTGAATAAGATCTCTCATGGAAGTAGACAGGTGATCCCTTTCTGATCGAACAGATTCAAGTTCTTCCTTTAGAGCCTGGGCCTATTTTAATTATATACTCAAATTAATGGTTTTCCACAGAACCAAAGGCTGAAATATTTAAAACGCTGTGACCCAGAACCTGTCACTATATCATCGTACCTCTTTTCTGCTAGAATCAAGTTCTTTCTTTGCCTTCACAGCAACTAATTTTATCTTACTTATTTTCTCCTCTTTTTCTTTGGTTTCTTTTTCCAGATTTTCTAAAAATGAGAAAAATTTAAGTATTATACATAAACTTGAAAGACAAAAAGAGAAGATAATATTCAATTCATTTCTGCATTTCAACCCTACATAGTTTTATTTTCCTAGGATGCAAACTTTTAAAATAAAGAGCAATTTTTTATGTTTCCCAAACATAAAATCAGACTGACAAGTCTTGTCAACCTTGTATTACTCCGGGAATTTCTGTGGCATTGGAATGAACCCATCACCAGGAATGTCTGCTGACAGGTTACGAGCAGTGCAAAGTATTAATGTTTTTTTAAAAGGGACAGCTTTAAAAAAAAAGTTGACAGCTTATTCATTATCTAAGTAAGGTAAGCACAACATAAAGTCATAAAGTGGTAAATTTAACCAAGATATTATGATTAAATATACATTAATGCTAAATTATTTACTGCTGATAATAAGTCATTTAATAAGATTCTGGTAGTACTTTATAGTAATTTTAGTAGTTCTGGATGGTCCTAATATTTTTTTCCAAGAATGTTCATTATTTCTAACAAAAACGAAGTAAAATGATACAAATTATGGAACAAAATTTACTAAGTTTAAAAATGCTAAAATGCTTTGTTTAGCTGTTTCTGAATAAAACATGATGGGCACATTAAGAATCTTGTCTTTCTATTCCAGATAAATCATTCTTTGTCACGTATTAAATGTGGACATCTTCATTAATAATACTCTCCCAGTATGTTTCTGGCATGAGATAATAAATAAATGTGTACTGGTGGTGGAAACAGACGAGTTTTTATTTTTGGGGTATTACACTATGTAGAAAGCCAAGACAAGAAATTAAAACAATAAAGCAAAACAGGAGAGGCTTTCTTTCTTTATTAAACAATCTATGATGACCTAATCCAAAGGAAAGAACAAACTTGGCCATTTCTCAAGTTGAAGAAAATAAGTAACAAATTCCAACTTTGGGTTGCAATACTGAAGGATTCCATGGGCAAAGAACTGAATGGTGTAAAAAAGCATCAAAAGATAGAAGAAATACAGAGCTACAGTACCAAAAAGAATTTGACACTGAACCATTTTAGGAACCATTTCAAATTATGGCACTGAATACACTGACCTCCAGGAACTGAGAGAATGCTAACATCTTTCAATAAACACATGCAATCCTGCATGTGCTCATTAGCCTATGCCAAAAATTTGGAAAGACAGGTACCTGGTCAACTGACTGGAAGGGATCCATATTTGTTTCCATTTCAATTGTTGTTTGTTGTTGTTATGTGCCGTTGAGTCGTTTGCAACTCATAGCGACCCTATGTACAACAGCCCTAAACCCTGCTCTATCCTGTGCCAATCTCATTGCCCCTGACACACCCATCCCGATTACCCCAGTCACTGAATCAATCCACCTCATAGAGGGTCTTCCCCTCCTGCGCTGTCCCTCTACTCTACCCAGCATTTTATCCCTCTCTAAAGACCTGTCTCTCCTTACAACATGTCCAAAGTATGTCAGACGAAGCCCCAGAATCCTTGCCTCCAAGGAGCAGCCTGGTTTAACCCTCTCTAGAATAAATCTGTTTGTTTTCTTGGCAGTCCATGGTACATTCAATACTCTTCTCCAGCACCACAGCCCAAAGGCATCAATTCTCCTTCTATCCTCCCTAGTCATAGTCCAACTCTCTGATGCATAACAAGTGATTGCAAAAACCACGGCCTGTATCAGGCGCACCTTAGTCTCCAGAGGGACACTGTTGCTCTTGAGTACTTTAGAGAGGTCCCTAACAGCAGACTTTCCCATCGCAATACGTTTTTTATTTCCTGGCTGCTGGTGCCAAGAGTGTAGAGGTGATTAAAAAAAAAAAGATTGTGGAAATTATCAAACAATATCATTAATCTCACATGCAAGTAAAATCTTGGTGAAGATTATTAAAAAGCAGCTGGGACAGTATATGAACAGGGAAATAGCCAGAAATTAAAGTCTCAGTCAGAAGAGACTGCAGCATAAGGGATATTACTGCTGATGTCAACTAGATATGGACTGTAAACAGAGAATACCAAAAAGATGTTTACTTTTGTAGTATTAATAATGCATAGACATTTGTGTAGACCATTAACAAATTATGTTAACATTATGGATAACACTTAGAAGAACGGCAATCCTAGAACACTTGTGTAAATGTGAATCTTGTACATATATCCAAAAGTAGTTTTCTAAACAGAACGAAGGAATTCTGCATGGTTTAAAATCAGAAAGGTGTGTATCAGGGTTGTATCCTTTCTTTGCACCTATTCAATCTTTTACATAGTTGAAAGTAAAGAATGCTTGAACAGACTTATTGCAGAAGACCCATGACTACAGCTTTCAATATGAATCATATCTCAACATCAAAAACAAGACGTCCTTATCACTGGACCAAAGCCAATAACATAATAGATGGAGAAAAGACTGAAGTTGTTAACAATTTCATTTTATTCAGACCCACAATCAACACAAAGGGTAACCGCAATTAGGGGAAAAAAGCACACCAACCTCCCCTCCCCCAACAAAACCGAAACCAAACCTAAACTTGTTGCACTGGGAAAATATGCTGTCACTGAAGTGCTAAGGAGCAATGATGTCAGTTTAAAGTCTAAGGTGCACCTGATTAATGAAATACTTTATTTCCTATGTATCTAAAGGCTGGAAAAGACAGAAAAATGACAGAACTGATGTCTTTGAATTGTTATCATAAGAAAAGAGTACTGAACATCCCGTAGATTGCCAAAAGAACTAATCTGTTTTGAAGGAAGTAAAATCAAGGTGTTCCTTAGAGACAAGGGTAGTGAAATTTCATCTCCTATACTCTGAGCATGTTGTTGGGGGACGCAGTCCTGGGAAAAAGACATCATGCTGGGTAGGGTACAGGCTCAGAGAAATACTCTCTGCATGATGGAATGAGGACTCAGCAGTGACTATAACAATGGCTTGGACATAATGGACACTGTGAAGGTGGCACAGATTTTGTTTACATGCTGCTATTGGAGTCTATTCAGTGGCACTTAACAACAAAAAAACATTATGTTCCTGGTAATTCTTCTAGGATTCTGTCATTGAAAATAACATCTCCATATTAAATAGGGAAATCGAATTAGCACTCTTTCTGTTGGGAATTGCAATTGTATTTAGCAAGTTAGATAGGGAAAAAAGCCACATTCGCCAATGCCACTCAAATCTAGGCATAACCTCTTGGGATATTTTTGGGTTCTCCATATTCCACTGGAGGGTCAGCCATGAATCGGTTGCAATTCAATGGCACATAACAAGTTCACCATTTGATAGGAACTCCTTTTTTCTGGTTTTCTCTTAGGACTACATGCATGTGAAGCAAAAATTAGACGAACTAATAATATTTTTATTCGTTATCTTTTTAACTCTTGCTGCTTACCTCTCCCCATAAAAGGTAAGAAATATTGCTAAATGGATTTTGAACCATTATAAAAGGGGTTTTTCCCTTAGAGAATGATTAAGTTTCACTGTTAATAAGTAGCATCCAACAGAACATGCCGCTGCAAGTGCATGCTCTTCAGCTGTCCCAATTTGCATTCACACAAATATATGTTAAATACCTACTATGCAACAGGCATGTAAGTATGAATTACAGATTTCATATGTATATAGGCCACCACGAATGCCTATACTTTCTGATTTTACTGTTAGTAATTCACTTCTTTAAATCAGAAAGGGCATCTCTGAGATTATGTCTAACTGTTTGAAATATTAAGTCCACATAAAAGTCAACTAAACATGGAATTTTTAAACTTTTCAATATAATTTATATAAGCTATGGGCATAGTTAAATATAAGTTTTCACACAATGAAGAAAGAATTTATTATTTAAAATACCATTTCCAATAAAAAACCAGAAAATTTATTAAAAACAAAAATTACTCAAAACCAATCTTACTGTTCAATTCAAACTTTCCATTTTGACCATTATCTTCAAGGTATGATAATCAGAAAATTATACTAAGGTAAAAAAATTATAAAGCGTAACATCAGGACTGTTTCTTTGTCATAATTATTATCTGCATTTCTTTCTTCCCCCACCCCTTGCCTATATTTTTCAAGCAATATTAATACCAGTTATTGACGTTTTCAATAATGATGTTTGGGATGGTTAGTAACTGAACAGAAGACTAAACTTGGGGAAAATTATAGTGTTCAATGATAATATATATTATCTATTATATTTATATACTATAATATTATCTATTATATTTTATATAACTTTGGAAATAGCTTAATAAATTTATTTATGGTAGAATTCACAACTGTTCTGAAGAGACAACACTAATGGCTAATAGTTAAAGCTATTAGCTCTACTAAGAAATTACTACTAAACCTACAACATTACAGAAGAAAAATAGAACTTTCAGAGATCAAAAGACACATGGTACATTTCTATTCCAGACAGTTGTGGACAATTCAGAGTAAAGTTATGTATTTGATTCTTAAAATCTTGAAAGGAAAAAGATAATTTTCTTTGGCAATAAATGAATGAATATAAATGAAGAGGTATAGCCTTTGATTTATGCACTTTAGTTGTAGTGTTGGTGAACAGTACTGAATGTACCACAGCCTGTCAAAAGAACAAATCTGTCCTGGAGAAAGTGCAACCAGAGCACACCTTAGCCAACAAAGATGATGAAACTTTTTTACTTTCAGCATATTCACAGGAGCAACCAATGCCTGGAGAGACATTATGCTGAGAAAGGTGGAGTGTCAGAAAAAGAGTAGAAGATTCTCAACATGATGGACTGACAAAGTGACAACCACGACAGCGTTGCTATGATCGTAGCCAACTTGACGGCACCTAACAACAAACAACAAGACATCAACCAACTATGCTAATGTGTGCTACTGGGTTGATTTTGATGCTTAACAACATTACAAGGGACAGCAAACTGCTACATGCTTAGCTACTGTGCAGCAGGCTCCTTAAGCACTATGCTTCCTGTTGTGTACCATCGAGTTAGTGGTAGTGAACTGCACGGGAGGAGATTGTCCATCTTTCTGCAGTGGTACAGCTAGTGGATTTGCCAGTGTAACTCCTTACCACTAGGTCAACAGAGCTCCCACAAGCACTATGCTAGACACTACAAAAGGGGGTGTGTGGGGAAAGGCGTGTGTGTATGTGTAACTACAAAAACAACTAAAGCTTTTCTTTCTTAAGGAAGAGCTGAATTCAAATTATAGTTTGTAAAACAACTTAAGTTTCAATTATATTATGGGGATACTGTTTTACCCTATGGGGTTATTCTAAGCCCCAGATGATGTAGGCAAATATAAGGTATAAGACAGAATGCTCTTCAAACGTTAACTACAGTTGTCAGTATGGATTACAACTCAACATAAAGAAAACAAAACTCTCACAACTGGACCAATAAGCAACGCCATGATAAATGTAGTAAAGAATTTTCTATATCTGATAAATGTAGAAAAATTGTCAAGGATTTCATTTCACTGAGATCTACAATCAATGTTTATGGAAGCTGTAGTTGAGAAATCAGATGTTTTACATTGGATAAATCTGATGCCAAGGACCTCTTTAGAATACTAAAGAGCAAAATAATCACTTTAAAAACTAAGCTGCGCTTGATTTGTTTTTGTTACATGCTGTCAAGTTGCTTGTGACTCAGCAACCCTATGTACAACAGCTCTAAAGCCTGCCCTCTCCAGAACCAGTCTCACTGATTCTGATATACCTACTCCCATTACTTTAGTTACTGTATCAATCCACCACATCCTGGGTCTTCTTTTCCTGTTCTGACTCTCCATCCTTCCAAGCATGATGTCCTTCTCCCAGGACTGGTCCCTCCTTGCCACGTGCCCAAAGTATGTAAGATGGAGCTTCAAAATCCTAGCTTCCAAGGAGAAACTTGGTTCTCTTGATGGTCCGTGGTGTGTTCAAGACTCTTCTCTAGCACAACTCAAAGGTATCAGTTCTTGTCATATTTCTTCACTGTCCAGCTCCCTAATGTATCATAAGTAATTGCAAAGGCCGTGGTCTGGATCAGATGCACTTTAGGCTCTAGACTGACACTGTTGCTTCTCAGTTCTCTGGAGAGGTTCCTAGACCACTATGTTTTTCAATCACCTCATATGTGTGCAAAAGTTTGGCAATGAATAAAGATGACTGACAACTGAAATCTTTGAATTATGGTTCTGGCAAAGAATAGGGGATATTTTCATGGACTGTCAGAAAAAGAAAGATATCTGTTTTGAAAGAAGTACAATCAGAATTCTTACAAGGGAGAACAGAAAGAGACTTTGGCTCATGTACTTTGGACATATTATGAAGCAGTCAATTCCAAGAGGTCATGTTTGGTAAAGTACATGGTCAGAGAAAAGACCCTCAATGAGATGGTTCAATACAACAGTTGCAACGATGGACTCAAGTATAGCACTAAGGTGTTTTGATGGAGCCATGGTTAAATGCTTAGCTACTAATAGAAAGGTTAGTGGTTTGAATCTACCAGTCACTCCTCAGGACTGTTGTGGCAGCTTGCTTCCGTAAAGGTTACAAACTTGGAAACTCTACAGTGACAGCGTTATTTTCTATCACAAGGTCACTGTGAGTCAGAACAAACTAGACAGCAATGGGTTATTTATTGAATATATCCTGTCTGATGGAAGGTAAGTACTTACTATCTGCTGTTTTAATTTTCATTCAAGTCCTAAAATGTAGGGTAACACCACCATATGGAAGTGATCAACTGGAGATGCAAGTATGTGCAGATTAAAACTAAGGTGTGTCTTTTTACCCTGTTGGAGAAGTTTTTAGATGGGGAAAAAGTAGTTTGTAATGACGTCAGATAAGGGACTTTTATCTAGAATTTATAAAATACTTGAGCAACACAGTAAGATAAACAATCCAATTGAAAAATGGGCACAGGATATGAATAGACACTTCATCAAAGAAGACATTCAGATGGCAAACAAGCACACGAAGAAATGTTCAAAATCCCTAGCTCTAAGAGAGATGCAAAGCAAAACAACTATGAGATGTCATCTAACCCCAGTAAGAATAGCAAAATGTAACAGAACAGCAAGCAATAAATGCTGGCGAGGTTATAGCAAAATGTAACAGAACAGCAAGCAATAAATGTTGGCGAGGTTGTGGAGAAACTGGAACCCTTATTCATTGTTGGTGGAAATGTAAAATGGTCAACCACTATGGAAGGCAGTATGGCGCTTTCTAAAAAAGTTGCAAATAGAAATACCATTTGACCCAGCAATTCCACTACTGGGAATATACCCCAAAGAAACCATAACTGCCACCTAAGCAGATATATGCACAGCCATGTTTATCACGGGTTTGTTCACAATAGCAAAGAGTTGGAAACAATCTAAGTGCCCATCAACAAAAGAATGGATAGAGAAGCTATGGTATATTCACACAATGGAATACTATGCTGCATTGAAAAATAAGGAACTCATGCAATATTATTTAAAGTGGGTGACCCCGGAGGACATTATGTTGAGTGAAATATATCAGTCACAAAAGGACAAATACTGCATAGTGCCAGTGTTGTAAAACAGGACTGACATTGGGGTTGGGGGTAGAATGAGAAAGATGGGATAAGTAATGTACTGCATTGAAACATATGATTAAGTATTATTGTCCTGACAGGAGTCTAGATCAAAGGTGGCAGAGTGGACTGGACTTGGGTGGAGGGATTGTGTAACAATGAAAGATTTTTTCTTTTATTTTTCAAAGAGAAAAATGAATTAGGGGGGAGGGGTGGGCAAGGAGAAAGGTGCAACAATGAATCAATGGAAATCCAAAGTCTCTGTAAATTTTCATTAAAACACACATACACCAAAAAAAAAAAACAACACCTAAGGTGTGTCAAACTCCAAAAATTGTATCATCTTTATAACATTCTGCATTTTCCTTCTATTTGGATAATAAAAGTTCAATCACTCATTCTAGAAATGAGACCTAATTCTAAACTTCTCTCCACTCTTACCACCAGTGTAACTGGGATTGAAGTTGAGGAATATGTAACACTCCAATATCTTTATTTCTCATTGTTAAATGGCAATAAAAGAACTCTTTAAGGAGCTCTGGTGGCTTAATGGTAAGGAGCTAAGATTCCAAACCAAAGGTAAGCAGTTCAAATCCATCAGCTGCACTGACGGAGTAAAATAGGCACTTTCTTCCCTTGCAATTTATGGCCTCTGGATACCCACGGGAGGGTCAGCAGCTGCAAGTTAGTTCCAACTACATGGCACACAACAATAACAAAAATATTACTGTTAAAAATAAACAAAATAAACTACCTATGTCTTAGAAACACTAGTACTTAATATGCCTCTAAATGTGATATTTATTAACACACATAAATCCCCCATGCATACTTGATAAACAAGCACCTATTGCTTCCTCTTACTAAAAAACTATTCTTATATCAAGTTTCCAATTTTTCAATATCTAGATCAAGTATGAACTATTCTGTGATACTTCTAAATTCAAAAATATATGCCTTCCTTCCCTGCCAGTGTCAAATACTGTCCATAATAAAACTACTGTGATTACAATTACATCCAACAGGTGGTTTCTTGGAAGACATGGTCTATACTTAATGATCTTTCTATTAGGTATCCAGAATTAGGTACCAAAAGAAAGTCTGCTGAATGAATGAATGAATGAAAAGCCAAAAGCAACAATAGAATCATTTATAAATGGAATCCCAAAGTTCTTTAAACAATAGGAAATGAGGGCTCTGAAAAGGAAAAGAAATATTTGGCCAATCTATTTTAATGCTATCAAGAATCTATCTAATCAGATATAACATATGAAAAGCCAGTTACCTATTTTTTCTTCCAGTTCTTTTACTGAAGTGTGATCATTTTTTACAGAAGATGATTTCTCTAAGGAGTCCTAGATTTTACAAGAGAAACAAACAACAAATTGAACTTCCTTCATTACACAGGATGAACTGGACATGTTATGAGAAAAATCAGAATCAGAGAATTTATAGAAAAAGTAATTTTGGTAAAGAGTCTCTTTTCTTCAGAAGACTATTTAATGCTAACCTTATGTAAGTAGCATCTATTGTAAAACAAAAAGTAATATCCAAACCTAAGGTAACATTTTAAAATGTATTCTTTAATAAGAATAAGTGATTAAAATTTACCAAATTCTCATAATTTTTGGAGAAAACCTAAAATTTTAACTGAAAGGAAATATTTAAACAGACTACAATTTTACTTATATGTTAAAAAATAGTATGAATAGTATATTTGAATATAATGAAATACAAGTATTTTTTAAGTTATGTTTTTACTGATAACCTGTGTAATTATTTAAACGATCTTTATAGAAATTTGCCACTTGAGCATAAATGTGAACTTAAAAGTATACAGATACTAAATCCCTAAGTTTTTTATACATATTATTAGCATATATGTATTACGGTACATAAAGTACTCAAGGATCAAGAACTTATTCAAATAAAATCAAATTTAACAAGTAAAATTTAAATAGTACCTTTAGTAGTGCCAGTTCTGCTATTACATGTTGTAATTCAGATTCTTTTTCTTCTAATAATGGTCTTAGATCTTCATGTTCCTTGATAAATGAGGTTTCTTTTTCATTACGGACTTCATTTTTACTATATAATAATTTTTGAGATGCTTCTTCAATTTTAATTAACAGATCCTGGTTTTCAAGCCTTGATTTTTCATTAGCATTCTTCATTGCTACAAGATCAAACTGCAAAGCTTGTTTTTCTGACAAGGCTTCTTCTAACTCTTTCTTCAGAAGCACTTTCTCTTGCTCACAGTCTTGTAGCAAAGCCCTAAGTTCCTTACGCTGAGCTATGTGCTCCTCTTGACCACACTCAATCTCTTTTTCCAACTCTAATATCCTTTCATTATACTGAGACACTAAGTTATGTTTTTCCTCATTTATTTTTGCTAAAGATTCACGTACAACTTGTAGGACATCTGCAACATCATCTTCTCTATTTTCTTCTGTAAGTTTTGACCCTATTTCCTCAAGAAAACCATTTAACTGAGTTTTTACAAATAACTTCTGAAGTTGCTCATTTTCTAATAGTTTACTTAAATTATCTCGCTCTTCAACTGTTAACTGAAATTTCTTTTCTAACTCGGCAATCTGTTTTTGTAAGTTCACATTCCCTTCTTTTTCAGATAGAAGAGATTCCAAATTGCTACACAACTGGCTCTTCTCTGAACTCAGTCTATTCTTTTCCTCAGAAAGAGACTTCACTTCAGATGACAACACTTCTTGGTCTTGATAGAGCATTGTCATTTGAATCACAAGTTTTTCTAGTTCCTGGTTATTTTGGTCCTTTTCTTTTAAAGTCTTTTCTAGTTCTTCTGTTAATTCATTTATCTTTTGTTTCAGTTCACTATTGTGCTGGGTAGTTTGTGTGACTTTCTCCCTTAACTCTGTAACCAATTCTTCTCCTCTTTCACATTGTTTATGGAGATCATCCACCTCTTCAAAAGAATTTTTAATTTTACTTATTAAGCTATCTTTTTCCTCACTTAGAGAACTTATCTTTGCTTCTAATTCTTGTACAATGGTATTTTTATGATTGAGACTTATTAAATACTCTTCATTCTTTTCCTGAAGGTTCTTTACGGTATTTTCAAGTTGTGGTAGTACTTCTTGTTGCGCTAGTAATTTTTCCTTTTCCCCCCGGAGACAATTCACAGTTTCAAGAAGGGCGTCTTTTTCATTAAAAGCAGTTCTGAGCTTCTGCTGCAGTTCATGGACATCAGATGCCTGCTGTTGTTTCATTGATTCAAATTCTTGACTTATTTTTCCAGCAGACTCCCCCAGTTCTGTTTGTAAAATTTCCATCATTTCTCTCAAACTCTCATAATTTAAGATTGCGTCTTCCTTTTCTTGCTGTAGACTTTCACATCGCTCCTTAAGACCTTGTATTTCAAACATTAATGTTAATTTTTCTTTTTCAGAATCCGACAGAAACGTTTCATTTAATTGTGCTATTTCTTCTTGATGTTGTTCTTTAAGACTCTGTACTTCTTTTTTATGTTGTTCTACAATACAACAGAACTGTTTATTTGAATCTTCTACCTCAGATTTTAGTTTTTCAATTACCCCACTCTGTTCTTCTTTAGCTAGTAACAGTTCATTTATTTTAAATTCTAAGTCTTCACGTTCATGGAAAAACTCATCCTTTATATGCTGGGCATCCATTTCAAGTTTTAATTTGAGATTATTCATGTATGTAACTTCATCTTTCATGATACTATGTTGGGATTCTAGTTCTTTTAAAGTATCTTCTAAGTTTTTGATCTTTTCATTCACTACTTGTTCTGCAACAGTATCTTCTTGCAAAAGCACAGGGCACATCTGTTTTTCTTGGTTTCCATTTAAGGCTTTCCTTAAGTTTTCTAATTCACATTGATAGTTCTCCTGAATGTTTTTCTCATTTGCCTCATACTGTTTTTCTAAGTTTTCCTTTAGTTGATTTAACTTTCTTACTTCTGCTTCGTGTTCTTTAGCAGAGGTTTCCATTTGGCATATCAAACTTTCCAGTTCTTCTTGGTGGGTAGCTTTCAACTGCAAAAATTCTTGCTGTAAACTATTAATATTTCTTTGGTAATCCTGAGAATTAGTCTCAATGACTTTTTGGAGGTTATCAATTTCTTGCTTCTTTTCACTAGTGGTAGTTTCTAACTGCTTTTGGAGATGTAAAATTTGCTCTTCAAAGGCAGGCCTAATTTTCTGTATCTCATCTTGGAGGTTTTTAACATTATTTTCAGAATCGCTCTGAAATTTAAGTTGTTCACAAAGTTCTAACTGCTTTTTCACTGCTTCTTCCAATTCCTTCTGCAAGCTATCTTTATCTTCACTGTGTTTAGAATGTACTGCTAATAATTCATTTTTCAAACTTTCAATTTCTTTTACATATTTTTGATGAGATTCTTCAAACTCCTTGTGCATATCTTCCACCTTACTTACAGAATCCTTTAAAAAGAAAAATAAGCATATAGATAATAGTTAAGAAAAAAAACCCCCCAAAACAAGCAACAAACCCCACAACAAAACAATAGGCCATCAGAAATTACTAGCCTTAGGCTAATGAGAAAGAAATGACCAAAAAAAAGAACACAAAGAAACAGATGGTGAGTTATGAAGAATTCTGCCAACTTTTTTTATTATAAATATGACAACAGATACAGTGGTGTTAGCCTAAAAGTTGGCTTTTTTTAAAAAGTCTTTACAGTTAGGCCCCTCTGGTCTCCTGCTACTGTAACTGCAGACATATGGTCTTGCTAATAATCAACAGCTGTGAGACCAGGATAAGAGAAAATGCTTCCCACGCTGAGAAGCAAGACTTGTGGCAGCACCTTGTTAAGAGCAGATCCTAGTAATGCTGGTGGAGAAACTGTGGCAAGGTGTGACCTGAGCTTTCTTGCATATGTTCTGGCCACAGGTAAAGGTTTTCCTGTTCTTGCCTTTGATGATGGAAGAAAAAGCTGCTTGCTGAACTGAAACCAGAGCCTGGACTAATTGAGGAAATGTGCCTTGGGACTACTGGGGTTTTTCGTGGATTTGTATTGAATGATATTCTTTGCCTCCCCCACTCTCCAACTTACTTCCCTAGTAAACCCCATTTTTGGTATCACAACTGTGAGTAAACAATGAATAAACGAACCTCTTTGCTGCTGGTGTGGCTCTGGGGTGGGTTATGGGCTCTTTATCTGCTTTCTGCTTTGGGGCTATGCTATTCTCACTCACTCTGGACCTTTCAGAGACAAGCTCATGCACCTGTGTCCCATATCCCATTTCTCTTTCCCAGATACCAACAGTATACTGGATATTTGACTATAGCTAAAATATGGGAAATCTGATGATACTACTTAGGTCATTAGACTTTAAATAATGGCTATTGAACTAATTAAGAAATGTTTGGGTTTTTTTTTTTAAGACATTTAAGCTAGAGATGGGAAAATAAGAAATATCCTGAAAGCAAATATATAATGTCCATCATATGAAATTAAATTTTTAAAATTTTTTTTTTTAAATGAAAGAATAATTTTACAGCCATCTCACACATTGTCTTGGGTTGGTTCTGACTCATAGTAACTCATCACTGGTTTTCAGAGGTAATGAGAAAAGACTGGTTATCTTGGATTTGAACCACTGGAAATGCATGGCCTTTGTGTTAGCAGTGCAACTATCTGCAAAAGCCATTAGGGTCCCCATATTACAACTATAAGAAAAATGAAACAATCAGGTAAATGTTAATCCTATCTCTATACAGATAACAAGTTTTAAGTTTTGTTAATTCTAAAATCTCAGTCTCTGAGTTTCCTCATTTATAAAATGTAAAACTGTAGCAAATGTTTTTTGAGGTATTAGCTCTAAAATTCATGATTATACTATTGATGTTGGTTACTTAAGAAAAAAATAAATTCTTACCATAACCTCTTCCTTCATCTTAGTATTTTCTTTCTTTAGAGATACACACTGTTGCTCAGTCTCTGCTTTTTCCAAGAGAATAGCATCCAGCCGCTCAGTCAATGCCTATTTTGAAACAATTATTTCTCTGAAGTTAGAAATGGTGTAACCACCACCTTACTTCTTTCAAAACTCTAAAAGGTTTAAAAATAATCATTAAAACAAACAAACAAAAAAAGTAGAATTTCAATGCATTTTTAGAAAACTGAAAGTAGAAAAAGAAGAAAATTGTATTACAAGTAGAAAGCTACAACTTAAAGGACTGCACAGAGAAATAACTATGAGAAGATGGCAAAAGATACTTCAGAAATCTAATGGCTCAGGAATCACAGGTACCAGTACTACTGAAAAGAAGTATAAATTTGGGGCTCACAGAATGGGAACTGACTAACAATCTGTACAGGGTATGGCTAGAAAAACAAAAAACAAACACACAAACAGAAATAACCAATGCCCTTTGTCAATGTTAGTGAAACAGGACAGCTCACCAAGTCAAAACACAGTTTTCTGACAAGTTTCTAACACTGAAAATTTCCACCAACACTATTAAGAACAAAACCACTATGAAGAAAGAGTGGACACAGTAAAAATAAATCAAGACATTAAAGTAAAGAACTATTATGAACAACCGTTTGCCAATAATAAAGAAAATAAATGAAGAGGATACAAATACTTGGCAAAATAAACATTTACTGGCCCAAGCAAAAAATTTCAAAGTATAATACATATTGTGATTTCTTAAGAAATTAAAGAACCAAAACCGCATTGTTGTGAACTTGGTTCTGACTCATAGTAACCCTCCATCAAGTTTCTCAAGTTGTAAATCTTTACAAGAGAGGACCGTCTCCTTTCTTCCATGGAATATGTGGTGGATTCTAGCCACTGCCTTTCTGTTAGCAGCCTGAAGAGGTTTAGGGCTGCTGACAAAATCAAAGAAATGTTAAAAGTTGTTCAATAAAGAAAATAGGAAGGCCTAGAGAGGGTTTTATAGTTGAGTTTCTAGATGCAAAAATTCTACACAAAGCATTAATGTACGATTACCATTTCTAATTAACATTCTATGGGGATTCTACTAAGAGAAAAGAAATGAGATTCTAGTAAGATAAAGTGTTTAAAAACACCTAAGAAATATATGAGTTGAAAAGACAATAATTAACTATTGTTAGCAGAATAGAAATAGTTATATAAAAATTAGGAAAAAAAATCTAGATGGATCTACAGATAATTAGAAACAAAAATTTGGTAAAATAGCTGGATATTAAAATTAACATGCAAAGACAGTTTTATTTCCGGTATAAAGTAACAATTACAAAATATAGTTAAAAAGATGGTATTATTTTAGGAATAACTTTACCAAAAAAGGAACAGTTTATAAGCAGAGACTACCGTGCTATGCTGTTATGTGCCGCTGAGTTGACTACATGTGCTATTGAGTTGAGTACACTCATAATGACCCTATGAACAGCTATGAACCTTACCCTATCCTGAGCCAAACTCACCATCTCTGACACACTTGACCTATTGCCACAATCACTGTGTAAATCCATCTTATCCAGGGTCTTCCTCTCCTGTGCTGAGCTTCCACCCCTTCAAGCATGTTCTTCTTCTCCAAGGACTGGTCCCTCCTAACAAAATGCCCAAAGTATATGAGACAGAGCTTCAAAATCTTAGCCTCCTGATTTCAGGAGAAACCTGGTTTCACCCTCTTATGGACAGATCTGTTTATTTTCTTGGCAGTTCATGGTATGATCAACACTCTTCTCCAGATAATTCAAAGGCATTGATTGTTCTGTTGTTCTTAGTTACTGTCCAGCTTTCAGAAGCACAGCAATCAACTGAGAAGACCATAGTCTGGATCAAACACACCTTAACCTCTAGACTGGCACTGTTGTTCTTTAGCACTCTGGAGAGGTCTTTGACAGGAGATTTTCCCAATGAAACTCATCTTTATTTCCTGACCTCAAGTACCAATGATGTTGATTATGAGCAAGATGAAATCATTAATAACTTCAATCTTTCTCTATCATAATGCTGCCTATTATGACAGTGAAGATTTCTGTTTTATGTTGAGATACAACCATATTGAAGGTTGTAGTCCTTTATTTTCTGCAGCAAGCGCCTCAAGTTCTCAAGGTTGTGCCATCTGCATAATGCAGGCTGTTAAGGAGTCTTATTCCACCTCTGATGTCATATTCTTTTCCACAAAGCTCAGCCTCTAGAATGGAGAAAGGACACATCCCTGACACACTCCTTTCTTTATGAACCACACATGTTCTACTGCTGTTTGGATGAGAGTTTATTGGTGTAGATATAGGTGTGGCATGAGCACAATCAAGTGACATTCCCATTCTTCTCAGTGTTAGTCAATGTGTTGTGATCCTCAGAATCAAATGCCTGTATGAAGTCAACAGAACACAAATAGATATCCTTCTGGTACTCTCTGCTTTTAGTCAAGATTTATCGGACATCAGCAATGATATCCCTACCGCCCTGGCCTCATCTACCAGTTTGTTTTACTGACACTTCTCTGTTGATGTACTGTTCTAGCCAGTTGTGGATAATATCCATAAAGATTTTGCTTGCATGTGATATTAGTGATGTTGTTCAAAAATTTCCATATTCTCTTGCATCACTTTTTGGGAATGATAATTAATATAGATCTCTTCCATACAAAAGATCATCTTATTCGTATTTTCACTGACTACGCAAAGGGACTCAAATGTGCAGATCATAATAAATTCTGGCTAACAGTGAGAAGAATGAGAATCCAAGAACACTTCACTGTGCTCATGTGGAATCTATACATAGATCAAGATGTTGTCTTTTGAAAAGAACAGAACAGAGCTTAAGATCAGGAAGAGTGTGTATTAGGATTCTATCTGTTCATTATACCTATTAAATCTGTGTGCTGAGCAAATAATCTGAGAAGCTGGACTATATGAATATATGAATGCAGCATCAAGATTAAAGGAAGATTCATCAATAACCTGTGATATGCAGAGGGCATAATGGTGTTTTGTAGGAAAAAGAAAGATTTGAAGTACTTACTGTAGAAACCATAAGCAGTATGGATTATAACTCAACATAAAGAAAACAAACTCTAGTAAGTGGTCTCGTAAACAACATTAAGACAAATGAAACCTCAAGTTGTCAATTAGTTAATTTCACTGGCTTCTACTATCAACATTAATAGAAAAAAAGAGTAGATAATAAATCAAAAAAGGTACCGCAATGGGAAAATCTGCTGCCAAGACACTACTCTTCAAAAAGCAAGGTTGTCTCTTTGAAGACTACCATGAGTGTAAAAGAGCGTGGGTGGTGTGAGGATGGTTATTTCTAACCTCTACTAACACCAATAGAGTAAACTGTCCCTATCAAGAACATCCACAACACAAAACCAATTCCCATGAGGTCAGCCACGTTCCCTTGGCTCCAGAACCTACTTTTACTAACTCTAACACCAACTGCACCGCTCTACTACTGAGTCCAAAATCCTCTGTAACCAACACATAGACCTCACAAAACCATACCCATGACTACAGGTTTATTAGGGAGCTCTGGTGGCCTAGTGGTAAAAAGCGTTGCTGCAATCTAGAAGGCACACGGTTCCATGGGGGAAGGATAGGCAATCTCCTCCTGTGTGATTAACTGCCTCCGAAAATCCACTAGAGGGTCAGCTATGGGTTGGTTTCAACTTGACAGTACACGACATCAGGTTACAATTTAGGTTGGCAGTATACAATTTCTCAGCTGGGACAGCTTAAGTGTGCTCACACACAGGTCCTTAAGTACTGCAGGTTTAGGCCAGTGTTACAAAGCTCTTGTTGTTATGTGCCTTCGAGTTGTGACTCATAGCGACCCTATGTACAACAGCCCTGAAGCCTGCTCTATTCTGTGCCAACTTTACTGTCTTTGACAAACCCACTTTCATTACGCCAGTCACTTGATCAATCCATCTTATCGGGGGTCTCCCTCTCTTTCTCCATCCCTCCATCCTTCCAAGCATAATGTCCCTCTCCAAACGCAGGTCTCTCCTTGCAACATTCCCAAAGTATGTTGGATGAAGCCTCAGTATCCTTGCCTCCAATGAGCAGGCTGGCTTCACCCTCTCTAGAATGAATCTATTTGTTCTAGCAGTCCATGGTATACCCAACACTCTTCTCTAGCACCACAGCTCAAAGGCACCAATTCTCTTTCATCCCTGGTCACTGTCCAGCTCTCTGACACATAGTAAGCAATTGTGAAGACTATGGCCTGGATCAGGCACACCTTGGTATCCAGACTCGCTGCTCATCAGTACTCTGGAGAAGTCCCTGACACCTGACTTTCCCAATGCAATTCATCTCTTGACTTCCTAGCTGCTGGTACCAAGAGTGTTGACTGTGGAGCCAAGCAAACGAAAACTGTTAACTATCTCAATCTCTTCACCAACCATACTGATGCTGCCAATTGGCCCAATGGTGACTAATTATGGCCTTTTCCTTCTAGTCTTCCAGCATAGTTGGATGATGTTCCGAATGGCTGTGTGGGACAGTAGTCTGTGGTCAGCTCTGTCTCATGTCAGGCTCTTGTTCTCTATGGTGGCGGATGGTGCGCTCATGCAGGTCCTGGTCTGCCTGTTGCAGGAATTTTGGACCCCAAAGAATGTGCACTGCATTCTCTGCTGCTGCTTTTTGGTGGTAGTGAGAATCCCAATTGCCGTTGTGAACCTGCTCAATCTTAATCTGGCATAATGGCCAAACTGTCCAATTCACTCAATAGAGCAGCAGGCAACAAATGCTGGCGAGGTTGTGGAGAAACTGGAACACATATTCACTGTTGGTGGGAGTGTAAAATGGTGCAACCACTGTGGAAGGTGGTATGGCACTTTCTCAAAAACTTGTAAATAGAAATATCATTTGACTCAGCAATTCTACTACTGGGAATATACCCTAAAGACACTAGAACTGTCACCCAAGCAGAAATATGCACACTCATGTTTACTGCTGCTTTGTTCACAATAGAAAAGAGTTGGAAACCACCCAAGTGTCCATCAACAAATGAATGGCTAGAGAAGCTGTGGTATATTCGCACAATGGAATGTTATGCAGCACTGAAAATCAATGAGCTCATGAAATATTACACAAACTGGGTGACCCTGGAGGACATTATGCTGAGTGAAATATATTGGTCACAAAAGGACAAATATTGCATAATGCCACTATTATAAAACAAGATTGATATGGGGGTTGGGGAAAATTAAGAAAAGAGGGGATAATGCACAATGCACTGAAACAGACAAGGGAGAGAACTCTATAAAAGGAATATATGATTAGGTAGTATTGGCATGATAAGAGTCCAGAATAAGAGCTGCATAGTAAAGTAGACCGTGGCGGGAGGGGGGACAACTGTATAACAGTGAAAGAATTTTTTTCCCAAAGAGAAAAACTAACTAGGGGGGTGTGGGCAGCAGGGTGGAAAATGTGCAACAATCAATGAATGGAAATCCAAGTTCTCTATAAACTTTCATTAAAATCTCAATAAAAACAACAACAACAACAACAACAACAACAAAAACAGGGAACAAGTAATATTCAGTGAACTTTAAGGAACATGTAAGAATAAAAAGAGAGCCCAGTGCGGACGTTATTGAAATATGTATTATGTGATGAGTTTCATCTGGAGCCACAAAAATGAAGAAGAGGATAAACTGGATCACTGTCCTTAGGGAAAAAAACAGCAAGTCTCTGGGAAACGACACATGCATAGTGTTCTTGCTGAGTGTAGCATCAAGTTGGAAATGATCCACAGCGAGTTTTCAAAAGTAGTTAAATCACATGTGAGGAGATCCTTCTCCCAAGGAGCAGATGGTGGATTTGAATCACATGCCTTCAGGACAGTAATGCAGATTCTTACCATTAGGTCACCAGAGCTCCCTATGTATATAGTATGAAGGATGCAGAAAGTTAAAGAATTTCTAGTCATAAGCAGGAAAACTGTGATGTCATTGACACTACTAGAGAATGGAAGAGGGACAATGAGATAAGCGGTTTTGTTAAGTGAGTGTCTGAGGAGATAAGAGAAACATACAAAGCTTTCTCTAAGTGGCTAGAAAGAAAACTATGAAATCTGGGTACCTAGTTATGTATGCTTCAGTAAAGATTACATGTCAACCTCAAGAAAACAAAAGTCCTCAAGACTTGGCCAACAGGCAGCCTCATGAAACTGACAGAAATTGTCAATGATTTAATCTTACTTCGATCTACGATCAACAACCAGTACTACCAGTAATTAGGAAATCAAGACATGCTGCATTAAGAAAGCTTGCAGTTAGGACCTCTCCAAAGTGCTGAGGAGCAAAGACGTCATTTAAAGACTAAGGCATGTCTGATTGAAGCCAAGGCTTTTTCAATTACATGCTATGCATCTGAGAGTTAAACAGTGAATGAAGACAGAAGAATTGATGCCTTTGATTTGTAGTGCTGCAGAAGAGCACTAAATATCCCACAACTACAAAAATAATGAACAAATCTATCTTGGCGAGAGTGCAGCCAGGATGCTCCTTAGAGTGGAGAATGATGAAGCTTTGTCTCATATACTTTGAGCATAGTGTTAGGAGGGACAAGTCTTGGAAAAAGACATCATTATTGGAAAAGTGGAGGGATAGTGAAAGAGGGGAAGATCTTCCACAAGATGGACTGACACAGTAACTGTAACAATAGGATGTAGTGTGAGGGAGATGATGAGGATGGCAGAGAATAGAGCAGGGTTCAGATCTGAAATTTATAGGGTCTGAGTCAGACTCGACTTGACAATCCCTAACAATAACAAGTCAAGCGAGAATGATCTAGATATTATCAAGCCACAAGAGTAATTATAAAAGTCAGGAAAATGGCTGGGTTTTCTGTAGGAGAAAAAAGCAGGATTGAGACTTTGAAAATAACCATAATTACAGAGTGTGTGGGAAGGAGAGAAGAAAGAAGGATAATATTCATTTTAGAAAATGACTTCGAGGTCATTTACCTCCCTCTGCTTTTACAGTGAACCAAAGGTCAAACAAAAACTTAACCAAAACCAGAGATAAAGTTGTAAAACAACGACTGAAAGCTGGGTAGCACTCTAACAGGCTGGCAATACTAAAAAAAATTCACTTTCCTATTATACATTTTCTCTAAGTAAACACATACAAATTAAACCCACATTCATAATAATTTCATTACCTTAATAATATCATCAGCTCCTCCAGCAACAGGTTTTGATTTAAGTTCTTCAATTTCTTTTTCCAATTCTAAAAATTATTTTTTGAAAAGAAACAAATTCATTTTTGAAATGAAGATATCCAAGTCATTAAATATGGTCTGAAAAATCACTCTAAATTAGAGTATTTTGAGAAAGAATTTTTATCTATATAATAATATTACGCTTTCTTTTTCCTTTTTACAATGGAAAACTTCAAACATATAGAATACAGAGAATGGTATGATTAATCTCTAACTCCTATCACCCTACTTAGCAATTATTTCAGGACTAATCTTACTTTATCGAGATCTGTACTCATCTCCTTCAAACCCTTTCCTTACACATCCAATAATTTTAAAGCAAATCCCAGACATCATTTCATCTGTAAATGTCCTTATGGTGTAATATAAAAGTAATAACTAGTTCCAAATTAAGCATTAACATTAATATTTTATCAATTCACAGGTCTAGATCTTGAGTCTAATACACCTTTCAAAAGAAATTACTATCTCCATCATAAGCTGATCTCACTTCCAAAAGCAAAACTTCACATTTCCCTTGGGAAAATATTTCTTGAGTTTTACAATAATTATATACCCTTGGAAATTTGAGAGTTTCTCAACTTAAGGAAGAATACTAAATATATTAAAAAGAATAGGAAAATCTTTTTCTTTTAGGAATGAAAAGAAATTCAACTGAGGATCAGTCAACTTCTGCCAATAACTATACTTTAAAAATGATGTGGATGAAACACTTTTTATTTTTATTCTTGTTATCCTTTCAGGCTCACAATCTTGTGCTACTAATATTTCAACTGCCAATTTTAGAGAGGGAAAAAAACCCTCGAACACCTTATTTTGAAGATCTAATTCTCATGAAGAAAAACCAATTAACTCAACAACTGTTGTAATCTTCCTCTTCCTCTAGCTTATTTATGCACACATGAGTTTCTTTCATTGCTTTTTCATTTGAGTCAAAGTTTACAAGTCATATTTCCCTATTTTAACAACTCAAATAAACTGGACATTAAAGCAACGTGATAATAAAAAAACATCAAAGATAAATGGTTAAATTTAAAATTATAGCTACTACTATTCCATCTAAAACTATATTTAGAATCACTAGAAAGCAAACACAGGATAATATATGACTAATACCAGAGTATTTTTATCTATGAATAAATGAGATTGGTGGTCAAGAGAAATATTTTCAACCCAATACCTGTACACCTTGATTTAGCTTTCTGTATTAGCATCACCTGCTTCTTGGCAAACTTGATAAGATCTTCCTTTGGCAGTGTTTCCAGCTGAAAAATGTGATGTTACCAATTTGTTATATTTCATGTTTGTTTTGTATCACAAAATACAATGTCTACCTAAAGATAAAAATATTCAACTGAATAGATCTTTGTGTCAAACACTTTTATACTACACTTCTAAAATTAGCACATGACTTTAATTATTAGGCAACTAACAATTCAACCAGCTGCTTGCTTGATTCTGTCTCATGGTGACTCCTGTATTTCAGAGTAGAAGAGTGCCTCTGGGCAGACCTGAACTAGTAACCTTTGGTTAGTAACCTGGTATATTTAACCATCTACAACACTCAGAGAAGAAAATAAAGAAAAATAATGAGGGCTTATTTCTTGGCAAAAGTACTTAACTCTCTTAGGCTCAGTTTTCTCATTCATAAAATGGGATAAAAATAGTAGCTATTTGATGGTTACTAGGGAGCCTGAGGCCCTATTGGTAAGGAGTTGCAAATGTAGAGGCAAATGGCTTGCTCCACCAGATGCTCTGCAAGACAAAGATGGGCAGACCCCTCCCATGAGATTTACAGCCTCTGAAAACCTGAAGGAAGTTCAGCTCTTAGTCAATTCTGAATCTAGGGCACATAACAACAACATGAAGCTTAAGAAGTAACTAAGTGCTTATGCAAGAGCGTGAAATTTGTTGTTGTAATGTACCCACTCATTGGTGACCTTCCAGTGGGTTTTCATCTTTCTCCTGTGGAGCCGTCTGTAGATTCGAACCATGTGCCTTTGGGTTGGCAGCGTAACTCCTTACCACTAAGTCACCAGAGCTCCCTGCTTGAAACATAATAAGCATGTAATGAACTTTAGCTACTAACATGTTTATAACTTCTTTTAGAATCAATGAATATATGATAGTGTGTGAAATCATATCAATTGATGTAATTTAAGACTATGTATTCAGAGTTTAGGAATTGAGTGAGGCCTAGAAAGGCAGTGACTTGCCCAAAGCCTCTTCTGGTACAGAGCACAAGAAGAGACTATCTTGAGTCCTACATTATGTTACCACTCTTTTCTCTACCACTAATAAGGCTCAGACAGTGACTCGGGGCAACCTATGTCAGAATTGTATCGTACTCCATGAGGTTTTAACTGCTTATTTTTCCAAGTGACATGCCAGGCCGGGAGGACTTGTAGCTGAACTCAGTATTTGTATGACTCAGGCTCACCACTAAACAGCCTCATAAATGAGACTTTGTTCTAATGTTTGAAAAACTGCAAGATCCCTTAGTAGTGCTGACCCAGTGGCAGGAAGTAAACAAATAGCTAACTCTTTCCTTATCAGGTAATTTAAGTAAACCATCTCTAATCCCCATGCCAAAGTTTTCCAATTCATCACCCTTCCACTCTTCAAGCAGTCTATCAGTCAGGTATTCTCTTCACCTTAGATTTTCCAGTTCCTGGGGTAGCTGGCGAAGCCACCCCATCTTGAACAGGTTCCTGCAAAATAAAAGCAAACCTAAGTGGCATGAATAACTTTTTGAGACGAAACTCACGAAACCTTTACAGGTAAACTCTTTCGTGTGGGATTTGCGGCAGGAAAATTCTTTACATGAGAAACTGAATTAAGGACGGCTTTAGCAAGCAATACAGGAAAAGGTCTGTACAGGGGCAGGCAATCAAGAGCGCCAATATCCAGGGAAGGTAAAGACCGAGGAGAGGCGTGGGGCGTCAGGGCATGCTGCTGTGTCGCTCATGGGGGGCCAATCCCCACGTCTGAAATTGCAACGGCAGTAATGACACGGCTACGAGCAGGACCAGGTCGGTCCCGTTCCCGGCCCCGCACGCGCCACTTCACTATTACCTCCATAGCTGGACACCACCGCTCCGCAGCACCGCTGCCTGCGCCGCCCCCGTCCCACTTCCGTTTGCAATCAAGGCTTCGGCTGCCGCCTCTGACGTAGGCTCAATCGCAGGTCAAAGGTTGTGTTTCTCTCGGGGCCCGCCTCGCCGCCCGTGTTTCCATGGTTACGGGCCGCGGTCCCGCCGACTGTGTCTCGGCCCCGCCTCCCGGCCCAGGTGGCGCACTCAGCTTCCGCTTCCTGAATCCGGAAGGCGGTCCCTCGTGCGCGCCCCGCCCCGCCTGGGGGCGCCTGTTTTGGCGTCGCTCCCGTGGGGTCGGAGGGTTTTGCCTGGGTAATGTTTGCTTTGTGTATGGCTGTCTTTACGCCAAATGTAATGTACAGTACACCATATAAAATACTGTAAAGTGCTAATTAACCCAGGGCGACGAACCTCAAACATATGTCACACAAGGAGTAACTCAAATCTCAAGGCCATGAGCTAGATTAAGGCGCAAACTTAAATGCAATGGTTTTCTAAAATTCTAGGACTAGGATTTTATCAGCTGCTGTGGTGTGGGAGAGGCAGTTATGCATAATTTGGAATTTGAGTCACAATCTTGGTGGTTTTATTTTTTTAGCAAACTTTAAAAAACTTTTATTATTATTACTGTGTGTGTGTGTGTGTGTGTGTGTGTGTGTGCGCGCGTGTGTGTGTGTGTGTTATCAAATCAGATCTGACTGGTAGAGGAGGAGATTGCCCCTCTTTCTCCAGCAGAGCAACTGGGGGATTCGAACTACGCACTTCTGAGATTGCAGTGTAGCTTCTTGACACTAGGCCACCAGAGCTCGCCTGTTGGCGTGTTGTTTTTTTGTGGGTTTTTTTTTTTTTTTTTTTTTTTTAATTAGACAAGGTGATGGGTTTATTTTTTGAGACATCAAGTTTTAGTATCTAGGAAGAACAACTTACTCTTTTTAAAAAAAAATTATTCTCATTTATTTTCAAAATTTGAATACATTGTTTTTCACAAAAGGTCCTTCCCATTTCCTTCAGCTCAGGTACCCATTGACTTGTGCAACCCCATGATTAACACCCCACCCTCCCATCCTCAGCCCTCTATTTCTACCCTACCCCCCCTTGGATCCTCATACTCATTCTACAGTAATGATTTTATACAGTATTTGTTCTTGTGGGACCGAGTTCACCCAGCATAATGCCCTCCAGTCCCTCCCAGGTTAAGGTCACACTCTTTGGTAGGTTTGAATCTTGACAGTGTTATTTGTTAGATGTGAGAATTTGAGTGAATTGCCATCCAGGGCTTTTTTCTTCCATATTTAGAAAATGTTGTGAGGTTGGAGAAGCTATTAAATGAAATAACAGATGTGTGCTGGAAGACCAAACCCCCAAACCCAACCCACTGCTGTCGATTCCACCTCATGGGGACTCCATGTTTATGACAGCTGACTGTCCAGATCTCCAGAGGTGCTGCTGATGGAGTCACACTGTTGGCCTTTTGGTTAGTAGTTCAATGGGTAACCAACTACACCACTGGGGACAGGCTCTGCAAAAAGGGCTTAGGGAAAACTACAAAGTGCCTGTGGAAACTGCTTCTGGGGAGTTTTTTTGGCATGTTTTTACTTAGTCTCTTAGTGCTCCTATAACAAATACTATAAATGGGTGGTTTTAATAAACAGACATTTTCTCACAGTTTAGGAGTCTAGAGGTAAAAATTCAGGGTACAGACGTTAGGGGAGTACATCTTTGCCTTAGCTTCTCTAGCATTCTTAGTGGCCCCTAGAGATCGATACTTGGCATCTATCTCCCCTGGCTCTGCTTGCTTCCTTTTCTGCTCATTTTAGATCTCAAAAATTACTGTTTTAAGACATATCCTACACTAATCTAACCTTATTAACACACAGAGAAATCTGTATTCCCAAATGGAATTACACTCACAGGTAGGTTCTTCATTATCCCTTTGATTTTGACTCTGGGCACCCTACAGGACACTTAGAACTGTTTCATAGAGCATTTTTGTTTGTAGTCTTTTCAGAAACAGACTGCCAGGCCTTTTCTGCATCAACTGGTAACTTCCAAAAACCCTGACCTTTTGGTTATCAGCTTAAAGTGTTACACACTAGGGCTTCCTGCCACAAGTACATTGTGAAGATTTATAATACAAATGTCAGAGACAATACATTACAGTTCTAAGCATGGTGCCCTGTGAATTCACCCAGAAACTGATCGGATTAGAAATGAGTGATCTTTTACTGACACTCTCTAGACTATGCTAGACTAAGAGAAGATTTCCCAGGAGAGCTTTATTCAAGAAGGGGCTTGAGCTAGCCGACATTTTGTAGGAAGTAAGATAGTCTATCAGTGAGTTGATACAGAGACACACAGAAGCACTATGTTAGGATAAAGAGAAAAATCTTCATTTCTGAGTGTGTAATCTTTAGATTTTACTATGAGTCACTAAAGGACTGACTGATATTTGATTTCTTCCAGGAAGCTTCCAATCTATCAAAATGTTTTTCTGCCTTCTTTAAATGTTCATTAGTGTTTACAACAAATCCCTATTAATTAAGGTAATCTGAATATATTATTCAGCTCCTTATACAGTTGACCTTTGAATAATATAGGCTTAAACTGTGTAGGTCAATTTATATGTTGTTGTTAGATGCTAAGCTGTTGTGTATCAAGTCACCTGTGACTCATAGCAACCCTATGTATAATAGTTCTGAACTCCGATCTATCTCAAGTCAATCTCATCGACTCCAACACATTACTGCTACAACACTGACTACCCCCATAACCCGAGTTACTGTGTCACTCCATCTTATCCAGGTCTTCCTCTCCTGTGCTGCCTCTCCACCTTTCCAGGCATGATGTCTTCCTACAAGGACTAGTCCCTCCTGGTAACATGTCCAAAGATGTGATACAGAGTTTCAAAATCCTTACCACCAAGGAGAAGCTTGGTTTCATGGAGATTTTTTTAAAAAACAACAAAAATAAAACAAGCAACATCATGTGATGCTAAGTGTTTTTGAGTTAATCTCTCTAGTACATTGTGTATTGCAGTAAAAGGTGGTCTCTCAATTTTTGTAATGTTTTGTGTGATTTTAGTGTAAATTTTAGTGTAAACTCTAATAATACCATGGAGTTCATACAGTGTTCCACTACTGATGCTGAAAGCACTCCCAAGAAGCAGAGAAAAGGCATGTTATAACAAGGAGAACTTGAATTACTTGATAGGTTGAGGATACAGTTTGAGTTGCCTACAATTAAAGATAAATGAACCCAATGTAGGAACCATTGTGAAAAAAGTAAAGGAAATTTATAAACTTGCCAATTTTTCAGATGAAAGTATTTTAATGTCATATTGCAAATGCAAACTTTTTACGTGATTGCGGTATTTACAGGTTGGTTTTAGGTACCAATGAAATGCTTCCAACTCAGGGTGACCCTATGCACAATGGAATGCATCCCTGGCTATTCCTGCATTACCTGCACAATCTTCACTGTGCTTAAACCCATTGTTCTATCATTAAGTCAGTCCATCTCCTTGAAGAGCTCTCTTTTATTTGATGATCTCTGATATTCCTAGTATGATATCCTTCATCATGGAATAGTCCATCCTGACAACATGACCAAAGTATGTGAAACAAAGTGTCATCTTCCTCACCTCTAACTAGCACTTTGTAAGCACTTCTTGCAGGACATTTTTTTCCTTCTTCATTCTTTTGGCAATCTATAGTGTACTCAATATTTTTTTGTTCATACTACCATTCAAAAGCTTCACTTTTTCAGTCTTCCTTATTCATTATCAAACTTTCAAATGCAAATTAAGCAACTGAAAAATGACATGACTTGGGTCAGCTGTACCTTACTTAGTCTTTAAACAGACATTCTTGCATATTAAGAAAGTCCTTGACAGCAGATTTTTCTAATCTTATGTGCCTTTTGATTTCTTGACTGTGTTGAGTATTGATTGTTGATCCAAGTAAAATGAGATCCTTAAAATTCTCAGAGTGACAATGATGGTCCCGTCTCATGGGATGAGGGAATAAGATGTTTTCTCTTACTCAGTCCTTGCTATATATGCTCCAAGTCTCATGAGACTGACCACTTCCTGGTGCTATTGCTTTGGTTCCTGCTGGATGTGCTGTTGTTGTTAGGTGTCATCTAGTCAAGTATGATTCATAGCGACTCCATGAACAAAATTCAAAGCCTGTGCTATCTTGTGCTATCCTCATCATTTCTGATTCACTTGTGCCCATTGTTGCAGTCATTGTGTCAATCCATCTCATCCAGGGTCTTCCTCTTGCTGGCTATCTTTTCAAGCATTATGTCCTTCCCCAAGAAATAGCATCTCCTAGCAACATGCCCAAAGTACAAGAGATGGAGCTTTTTCATGTTTGCCTCCAAGGAACACTCTGGCTGCACTTTTCACAAATATACCTGTTTGTTCTTTTGAAAATAGATGAGATAGATATTCAATAGTCTTCTCAGTAGTCAACACCACAGTTCGAAGTCATCAATTCTTCTATCATCCTTATTTACTCTCCAGCTTCCAGATGCTTAATAAGTACTGGGAAAGACCATGGCCTGAGCCAGACACACCTGCGTCTTCAAACTGACATCATTGCTCCTTAGTAATT